GGGGGGGGGGGGGGGGGGAAAGATCCCGTACAGAAATATATATATATATATATATTTCTTTGGATCGGAATAACTCAAAAACAAAAAAACAAACGCAAAAAAAGAACAAAACCAAAAAAGCCTATGACATCTTTTTCTTTTTTTTTAGTTTGTTGATTCGCACACTCAGAGACGATGTATGTTTATTTTATTTTCTTTAATACCTATTCCATTGGCAAGAAAAAAAGAAAGCATCCAAGAACCAGTCATCTGCACTTTTCATTGCCTTCAGTCTCTCTCTGTTTTCTCTGTCGACCCTACCTACCCACCAGCCACCACCCACACCCACACTTCATCCCCGTATCCTCAGAGTTACAGGTCAAGAACGTTGCTAAAGAAAGGGCAGTTGGGGTTAAACCGCACCACACCATCGTCAAGCGTAAAGCACTGCAATGCCATCTCCGCCGTGGGCCGCTTGTTGGGGTTGACCACCAGAAGTGAAACAACAAAGCATGCAAAAGCCATCGAGTAATTTTCTGCCAAAATGTCATTAAAAACTTTTGCGGCAAAGCCCTCATTTTTCGCCTCCTCGTACATGATACGTACTGTGTGAAGTGTCACACGTGCTGTGGCAAGAGCGTAGAGCAAACACCCAAGACTCCACATGTCACTAGCGGTCGTCGTCCGGCCATTCCAGCACTCCGGCGCAATGTAGGGACGTGTCCCGCCACCGCGACCGGTGCGACGGCGATCCTCTAACATAAACGCCAATCCAAAATCTGTCACAACAATCGGAATGACATCTTCCGTAAGTTTGATTCTGCAGCCGGTACCACGACGCGACAAATTTCGGTTCTTTTTGCGTGCTAGGAAATCATCAGCACCACTCTTCCCGTTGCCACCATCTTCAGAGTTATGAAGATGCATCTTAACATCATCATCGCCATCATCAGCTTCATCATTATCATCATTTTTCTCGCTGGCACCATGCGATGGTTCCCCACGAATGAGAATGTTCTCTGGCTTCAGGTCACGGTGCACAATGGGTGGACGCTGTGAGTGCAGATGGTATAAGACCGAGGCAAGTTGGTATGCGATGGACAAAATTTGCGGCTCCGTCAGGGCGTTTCCTCGCATGGCAAATTCCGTTTCACTTTCCCTTTCCAAAATACTCATGCTGCCCATTCCTAATAGAATATCATCGTTGCTGAAGCTACGTGACCCCGCTGTGGCGTTATTTGACGCCTCGTTCATACGGTCACGTGGTGATTGAGACTGGGTTTCATGACTAAGACTCATTAAAGACTTCCCAGGTCGGAAAAATGAGGGAGTACTGTCGTGCTCCGATCCTATTCGAACCCACGTTGTTGGAAAATCATGCTCCAATTTCTTAGCCTGTTCTTCCTGCGCCTTAATAAAACGTGCCTTTTCCTCTTCCAGTTGACGTTTTAACTTGACATTATGCTTCGCTGAGTGACGAAGGACGTAGCCACATAAATCACCCATGGGATGGTATTCCATCACAAGACATAAATAACGTGTGTGCACCGGTCCACTGTCGGGTGTGCCAGGTGTTGTCAACCTAGCCATGTCATGGATTACTCCCGTGGGCGACTTTACAATGTGTGCCGGCGAGTTGATGACTGCAAGTTTCACAGGAAACTCTTTACCCTCCTCACGCGGTTGCTTCTGTTGTTTTCTAGCCATGGACGCACCCTCATTCAGTCGGACGTCAGCAACCTTATCAGGCAAAAGGCAGATCATGCCTAACGCATCGTCTTGAGAATGTTGTGGCTGCGGCTGTTTTAAAATTGTGGCTTGGGGCGTATTTGCCGTCACTACCGGTGATCCCGCGGTTGCGAAACCGTTTCTATGAATGCCAGTTGTGGGATTTGATGGGGGGAGTGGCTTAGCAGCATTCACAGTCCCCTCGTTTGCTTTCGCCGTGCGAGCCGCACGCACAGCATCGGCTACTGACCTCGGCTTAGTCAGGGATTCCAAATTGTTGGATGCCTCTTTAGAAACCGAAGCCGGGGGAAAGAAGTTAGTGTATTGCATTCTCCCCTCGGTGGGCTGTACGTACTGCAGCGGAGCGTATTTTTTGTTTTGCGTCGCGGCAGCGTTTTTATGATTTATTGGGACCTGCATGGCTGTCGGTACATTATTACCCGAGAAGGCCAATGAGACATCGAAGTCTTTGTAATGAATGCCACCAAGTGGGGCATACGAAGTACGTTTCTGAGGCGCAGGGAGAACTTCATGTTGTGCGTTCAGTAATGGTAGCGGGGCACCCACGTGTGATACCTGCGCAAAGTTACTGTAATGCATCACATTTCTTGGTGGCAGTGGCAACATCCCCATCGGAGGTCCAAAGAGGTTAACATTTGGACTGTGCAACCCCGAGCCCCGTGCTGCGCCGCAGCTGCTCACGTCCTGCAACAGCCTTGAGTTTCCACCGCTTGCCATGGAAATCGTCGCCGTGACGGCAGGAGGAGAAGCAACAGCAGGAGGAGGAATTGAAAGAGAAGGAGTAGGGAGAAGAGACTGAGGCGGAAGCCCCAGTGGCATCCCTGAGTTCACCTTCCCAAGAACAGTACCATCCGCATCATAACCATCCCCACCACCTCTGTTCCCGGTGGGGGAGTGAAAGGACCGGTATGCCGCAGTGCCGGGTCCCGTCATTTCCGCTTCTGCGACGCTAGAAAGTGACTGCTTTCCTGCTGTCGACGTGTTTTTGGCATTTTCTATAGAAACCACTTCCAAGCGATGAGAACCCTTTGAAGGAATATGCCGAACAGAAGACGGCGGCTGGGGTTGTGGCAATTCTTGCGGCTTCGATGCACCTCCTTGCGGGGGACGTTGTGGGCTCGCTAATGCCATGACCACATGTGGGTTATGAACCTGTTTCTTTCCCCCAACTGCAGACCATTGCGGTGGCAAAAACTTCATTGGACTTGCGGCGACTACTGCGGGTATTGGGGCCGTCCAGGCATTTGCGACATCACACAAACCCACCATATCACCTCCATCAAATTCATAATTCATAAACATATCCACAAGGCGAATAATGTTGGGATGCCCCTGTAATGAATTAATTGTTTCGCACTCCCGAATAGCATCTAAGCGCTCCTTGTTATCCTTGCACACAAGATACTTTAACGCAAACTTCTGCCCAGTGCTTTTACGTCGAACCATATATACTGAAGAGAATGCCCCTTCCCCAATTCGTTGCAGGATCTCATAGCGTGACCAATGTGTTGTGTTCTTCACTAGACTGTCTTGCTCCGATTTGGGGCTCATAGGCGTAGTTGGTTCCACAATAAAGTTATTTGTCTCCGCTGATATTTTCTTGCTCTTCTTGGGCGTACCATAGGGAATTTGCCCATCGGCAGCCAAAACAGCAACAGAAGTGGGGTTTCCACCCCGTGGTTCATCGTTGTTGTGCCCGGCAAGCAGTAGATGCATGGTGTAATCCTCAGAGTAGCCGCTCGGCGACCTCAGACGCACAAACACAAATGCCACAACTGCCACCACGACAATCCCCACTGAGATGCTGACACTTACGCTCATCCCGTACAAACTGTTATCCTTCTTCTCTTGTGGATAAGAAGGGTCGCGTGGATCGCGGATTTGGAATGGTGTAAATGTTATGGGCGTAAATATATATCCCTCCGTTTGCGAAGGGTAGTCGGAGTCTGTGGTCGGGACCTTGGGTAGCCATATAGGGCCGTTTGAAAAGCATACATAAACGTGTCTACTCTCAGTAATTGGATGAAACTCGGCTACCGCTGACTCATGCGGGAAAATAACGACCCACACGTCCAACGTCCCCGCGGTGTTTCCAATACAGCGCAGATTATCCGACAGCCGCAAGTATCCTTCTTCCGGTGGGTGAAGCGTCAGGCTCAGCGTTTTGTTCACTGGTACAATCATGCGCAGTTTCGAGACGCTGGTTAGACTCAGACCGCTGGTTCGATAGAAGACCCGCTCGGAGGCGATACCATCCACATCAAACCCGCCAAACTCAAAAAAGGACAACACGGTACCCAACACACCCACTGGAAGGGGAAAGGCAAAGGGTGTTGACCCATAAACCGGTGGAGCGTTTGACGTTCCCGAAAGTGGCTGCCATTTAAGGGCTTTGTTGCAGTCACTAGAAGGCGAGATGAAGCCTAAAAATTTATCCACGTCAAAACAATTGACAAAGGTAGCATTCAACATAAGGCACAACTTGCCATTGAAGGCAAACAAATGCCCACTGCCTGAAGGGTAAAATGTGTCTTTATCCATACCCCGTAAAAGCAGCTCTGGATTGGCAGGTAAATTTTGAATGTACACATTTAAGGAAGAATCATTGGCGCCATGAATGGTGTCGTTTTGTTGACTAGATAAATTGCCAAATATAATCGCTTGTACCGTCGCAGATGGGCGCCAAATGATGTTTTGATTGTCACTATGATTCGACGATTGACACTGCGTTTTGTTGTCCGTGCACGCATCCCCTATTTCCCCAATACTCACATTAAGTTGGACCTCTCCACCAGCAACGTAAATAAACGCACTGTCCTCAGCAACAAGTGGATTTTGCACGGCTGTTTCAAGTCGAACAACCTCTGGCGTGTAGCGGCGAGACTTTGTGTCAAAGACATCAACTGTTGCAAGGGCTTTGCCAGTAAAAATGTCAACACCTCCAACAATAAAAATAGAATCTCCACGTGAAATGCAAGTGGCATTTGCACGGGTTGGAATTTCTGTCTTCATGCCCTCCTCACTCTCCCCGTTACCAGGAGAATTTTCTGGAATGCTGAAATGGTAAACTACACGTGTCAAGTCGTTAGAGAGACGCCAAAGACTCCTGTACTGCTGCCGTATAAGTGTTGAGTTCACGGTCATCTGATGCTCAGGGAAATAATATCCACATGGACCAACCACATATAAAGAGACATCGTCCCCATCTTGAGGATCTACTCGCACCATCGTTGTGGGGCCGGCCACGCCCATGGGAACACGTTTGGAACAAATGTTCTTATTGCCCAACTCCTCGACTTCTAATGAGATGGGCAATGTCACTTGTCTTGTGGGATTTATTTGGTTCGGGTCGATTATATCCACAACATTCAACCGCTTTTTGCATATAGGGTCCCAGCAACCACCCACAATAAAAAATGATGCGTATGCATAAACTACCGCACTGTTGCCCGACCAGTCGTCATTGTGGAGTCAAATGGCATCCATAAACTGCCGTATTCTTCTTCCGTTTTATCCAACACACACAGGGATATCTCTGCCAAAGTGGAAAGGTAGCAGATGAGCAAAAGTACGTACCGCAGCATGATCGATCAAAGTTACAAACCCGTATATATATATATATTTATATATTTATAATATTCACACTGCCCCCAGAAAGGAAAAGATGGTGGCAGAGAAAAAGCTAGAAACTATATTTTTATAAATATAAATATAAAAAGCAAATCCTAACGCAACAACCAACAACGACAGAAAAAAAAAAGAAAAAAGGGGAATTGTCCTAATGTAATGATATATACTTACTAATGAGCGCGGCTCTGGTTAAGCTCCTGCAAAATCACCGCAGGGGCAATAACGTCCAGGTCTAGGAAAAAAAAAAAAATAATGTATATATATGTAAATTTTTTTTCCTTGTACCCCTCACACACAAACAACCCCCCCCCCCTAACCCTCCCTCCCCAACACCTTCTCAGGCTTCACTGCACACACTGAGACTTTTTTTAATTTATTATTATTTTTGTTGTTGTTGTTTTTGTGCAATTCCTCCTCGTAGAATTATCAGAGAGAAAATCACTGCCGTGAATGGAAGCACAAGAAATAAAAGAGAGAAAAATAGAGAGGGAACGTGCAGATGATAATAATGATGAGAGAACAAAGCCCACCCACCACTCATACAAACAAACAGGAAAAAACAAACGGATATTAATAAATATCCTTAGAAATACATCACATGTACACACAGACACATACCAAGAAGAAAAAAAAAAAAAAGATCCTTTTCTTTTCTTTTCTTTTTTTTCCATCACTTGGCTCGCATTTACGTATGCACACGCAAAACGAAATATATATATTTATATATATGACAACATTATGTTTTATCTATTAACAACAACAACCACAAAACCATTTAGTTGGACGGCGCATATAATATATATACGTACATACAAGGTTGGCAAGAGGGGAGAAATAAAAACTATGAGGCACAAACACGATAATAGAAGAAGCAACACCGAGGGCAACAGCGGGAGTAATAATAATAATAATAATAATAATAATAATAATAATAATAATAAGAGGACAGAAGAAGAATAACAAGCCTTAAGAGGCATTCCACGCGTCAGAGAAACATAAACAAAAACCTAAAGCAGCAAGAATTTAACCGCATACGTGAAACAACAACAACAACAACAACAACAACAAATTACTGGCATCTAATAAATACATGAGATGCGTTACATCAACAGTTACGCCGCCTAAGGGAAGATGTGGACGTGGAAAACGTCATCGATGTGGATGATGCAGTTGCCGACTCTTTCACAACGGTCGAGCCATCATCACGGGGGGAAAACAACACTGCCCCCTTGTTTTTGTTCTTATTGTTCTTCCCGTTCTTTTTTTGGAAACTCCCCATCTGATGGAGGATCCGGAAACACTTCCGCGCTACATGCAGATAGAGGCATAGCCCCTGCACTCTCGTTCCTGAAGCTATAATTCTCCACCTCCCGTCGGCTCGGCTCAGCAGCCGCAGTTGTGGTTATTTCGTGCCTATTCCTTGCCGTGGATGCAACGACTGTCTCAGCTGGCAATGTTGTTGTAGGCGGCGGTGATGGATTCCTATTCCCCGTTATCCCCAGCACGTTAGGTCCTTTTAGATTTGCCGGGAGCGAGAGTGCAATAAGTGACGGGGACTCTCGTGCAACAAAGAATTCGCACTTTTCGCTGTCCTCGGCAACGCTCTCAAAGTATTTTTCAAGCTTACGGCATCGAAGCTCCTTTTTCTTGACAGCCGCGCTAGAAGAATGTGAGGGACGAGTTGCACTGTCCTCACGGAGGAGGACTTCAGAGGTATCAAAGAAATGTTGCTTCTGCTGCGGTGGATATTCCTTATATGACCCAGGCTGTGAATGGTGGGCAAGACTGTTTGTCTGTAGGGCCCCGCGTGATGTCACTGCCTCTGCTGTGTGACGCATGGACCCGTCGTAGTCAACACGAGTAGCCGCCATGACACCACCCCCACCATGAACTTCCGTTTTTGCATGATCCGAACTCTCTGACATGTATGCGTCGTCCTTCAGCAAAGGGGCATGTGTCTTCATTGTTGATGGAGCCACTTTTTCTATTGTCTGAGCACCACTACCATCATGTGGCGGAGCCGTGGAATTTAGAAACTGTTTGCTACTACTGTTATCGCGTAGTTGTTGTCTGTGAGAGAAATGACCTTTCTTGCTTTTGTTGTTATTCTCAGAGGATATTTCCCTCTTCTCACCTTCACTCTTCTCACGGCCATCCCCGCTGTCGTCATTATTCTTCATACCACCACCGTCATCCACATCATTGTTGTTGTTTTTGTTGTCCACATCTTCCTTCTCCTTCTCCTCCTCCTCCTCCTCCTCGTCTTCCCCATCGTCCTTGTAGAGGGAAACCATGACAGTCGTTTCGTTTACATCCACAGCATCTTTCCTTCTTTTACGAATAAGCCGCAATGCCTCCTCTGCGCTTGGACGACGCGCTGGATCGGGCTCGAGCAAGTATACAATAAAGGCGGCCAGCGCCAGGCTGTATCCATACACCTGTGTTAACTCTTCAATAAGCTTCTTCTTAAAATCGGGTCGACCGCATTCACTGAACATCACCTTAACATTGTCACTCTCTACACGCTTAGCACAGGCCGCATAAAGAATACAACCCGTAGCCCATATATCCACCTTTGTGGAATAGTGGCGCTGCCAGCACTCCGGCGCGACGTACGGTAATGAGCCAACTCCGGTTTCACAAAATGTTTTGTCCATCACACGTGAGAGCCCAAAGTCCGTAATGACAATTCGAAGTGGCTCCGCGCCGCCATTACGCCCACGTCTCGCCTTCCATCGCCGGCCGCACGCAAAGTCGGAATCAAGAAGGATGTTTTCAGGTTTCAAATCGCGATGGACGATGGGAGGATCATGGTGGTGCATAAACTGCATCACCGTTAGAATCTGAAAAGCAATACTCATGATGGTCGTTTCTGGAATCATTGGCTCTGATTTTTGCTGTCGAATCCACTTCCCAAGATCCCCCTTCTCGTGGTATGCCATGACAAGAGACAGATACCGCTCCCCTGACGTCGCCGCTGCCACCGCCCCACGTTGAGGAGGGACCGGATAAATGTCACTGCCCTCATCCACACATATCATGACGGACCCACTCAGTGAACCCAATTGATGCTCAGAATGTTGCTGGTGGCGGGCCCCACCGGCGTGCAGGTTTGTATCAAAACGATACGACATAAACATGTCTACCAACCGAATTACATTTGGGTGTCCTTGCAATGTGTAGGCAACTTCACACTCGCGCATAGCCTCTTGTCGATCCACGTCATCGGCACACTGGACGTACTTCAGCGCAAAACGTTGACCATCTTCAACACGCTCCACGAGGTATACCACAGAGAAACTCCCCCGTCCAAGACGATGCAGAACTTTGTATTTGCCATCCAGAAGACTTTGCTTCTGATGCGCAGGAAGGGCAGCACCACGACCAACCCCACGATTCTCATCACCCTCATCCTCATCATTGCCTAAAAGTAAATGTTGTCTTTCCCCCTTTTCAAATTTCCTCAATCTGCAACACCGCACAATGTGGAACAGTCCAAATGATACAAGGATCGTGACAATAAGAGTAAACAATGCCAATGTGGCAATAGTACCATATGACAATTTATTATTTGGCGAAGGAGAAGGAGCCATCGTCGTCGTTGTAGAAGGTACCCACTTCATGACCGGTGAAAGAACAAAAGGGCGTTCAGCATTCAACGCCTTGTAAAAGGCGGTTGTACAAGGTTTCCTTCCAGCCTTTGATTCATCCCAACGTGTCTCCTTTACACCACTCTTGCACTGAGGGAGAACAAAGGCACCACTTGAGAAGCAGACATACAAAAAAACTTGTTCATAATATACTTTCGTGGTATCATTATCGTACTTTGGCTGCGAACGAGGGCGACGACGATGATGATAATAACTATCCTGAAAAAAGAAGGAATCATGAGGATCACCATACGGTGTTCCATTTCCAGTGAGGTTAAGAATACCATCTGCCAGGGATCCTACAAGAGTAATAGGACCCACTGCCATTGTTTTTTTCTTTGAAATGTTATTGGTAACGGGATCAACAATATCCACCACGTATGGCTGTGTGTTGACACGGGACAGGTTACCAATATCCAGAAGAACTGAATTACATGTGGGCGAATCAGAGAGACGTAAAAGGCACGAAGATACTTGATCAAGATCAGTATTTACCACATGTTTACTAGAATTGACGATACCGGGGCAGGCTTGTGCCAAGCTCTCAGAGAGAAGAATGTTAAACGTGAAGTTGTACCATAGGGGCTCATAACCATTCACTAATACTGTGAAATGTCCATCATTATTTGGCAAGTCTTTGGGAGGTGGGGTAGGCGGAGCTGGCGGAGGTGGCAATGGCGGCGTTGGTGTTATAGACGGACTAACGGTTGGCGTATTATCTGAAGAAAAAAGAGAATGTGTGCTCCCACCTTGAAAATCCTCCTGCATAGGTGAATGCAAATTCACCACCTCCTTTTCTCCTTGTTCCTCTTCTATTTCTGCTTCTTCGTCTTCTTGTCGTACGTGTGCCTTGAACCCATGGAGAGATGTGGCTTCACCCTTCATGTCTGTCCATTTCCCCGTGGGATGCATTTCCATTGCCGCTTCTTCCACCTCCTCTAGGACGTCTTCCACAAGAGAAATGTAGTGAAATCCGATGATGCTCACCACCACATGCCCATCGTCCACAAGCATTTTTCCTGTAAATATGTCAAACGAAATACCTGTTCCATCTGGCGGTGGGATTTGCCCACCAACAAGGTAAACAGTCACTCCATCCACGGTCGTCACGGAAAACACAGCGGCATTACTGCGTAGTGGTGGAAATCGAATGGGCACAGTTTCCACAGCACCATAGAGCCTCATTAGATCAGGCCATACCTCCTGTTGGTCAAAAGAGCGATCATTCGTGGCACCCATCACGGCCAGTGTGTGATTATACATCATAATTTGTGGTGAGAGCCAGTTGAGCTGCCATAGATAGTCATATGTTCCAATGTTCGTCTTGACCAGCGAAGGGTCAATGACTGTCAGCATGCGGCTGATAAGAAGTCCATGTTCCTTGGTCTCTCGGTAACCACCGGCAATAAACACAAGACTGCTACCCTCAAAGACACCAGGGGCAACAAGAGGATCATCAAGAAGCAGCCCGGCTTCAATAAATTTTCCTGTTACGACGTTGTACTGGGACACAGATGCCAATGGGGCCATCTTCTCAAGGGAAATACCACCCACAATGTAGATGATATCCTCACCACTTCCGACACAACTGGCATTGAAACGCAACATCGCATCCTCTGGGAGGCTTTTGTTCCGTATATCCATTGTAACATCATCTACGGGAGGAAACTCTTCCTGATACAGCCGCACCTCTTGTACGGATCGGAGAAACGCATGAAATTCATCATCATCTTCTACAATCACATTTCTGGGGATCATTGTGCAAAACCCTACAATGTACGCTGCCAGGCCAAGTTGAACGGTATTTTTCGTCCCAACAGCAGGAAATGTCAGTTGCGCGGGGACACGAAAAACAGTTTTAGGAGGTGCTGGAGGGGGATCACGGTGTCTTCGCACCTTATGACTTGCCGCAGCTGGCTCACTGTTTACAAGCATCAATGGCAACACAAGTTTTCCTGTAGTCATGTCCAACACGTTAATGGTTGGAAGAGCATATTGACTCAAAAACACTGACGTTGGGATGTAAGGCGGGACGATGGCAGATCCGCCAAAGATGACTAAATAACGCCCCAGTGCAACGGTGGCGGGAAATATGCCTGTTTTGTTCATCTTCACTTCGGTCGCACTCCAACCAGTGAAGGTGACTGTGGTGGTTCCTAATGCGGCATTTACACCAGCCGCCTCCGCGAGAGGAATGCCCCACCCATCATAACTCTGGCGCACTACGGACGCGTACGACGGCGTGCTCATGGTTACGGGCCACACAGAACTGATAATCATCGCGAAAAGCAAATGCAAGCCAGTCAACATGAGCAACCACCGCCTCCACATTAAACAAGAAGAAAACGGTGGTCTACGCTGTTGAGGTTTCATGGGGGCAACTGCACAAAAGCGGTAGGGGCTAATATTATTATTATTAATATTGTGAATGCTGGAGGTCAACATCTCCAACAATAATAATAATAATAATAATAATAATAATAATAATAATAATAATAAAAGCAAAAAAAAGAAAAAAAAGAAAGAAAACGAACGCACAACTCCTAATCGTTTCCCTTTTGACCTCCTTTCTCTATTTATCCTTTACTATAATACTTTCTGTATGATACACTACTAAGAGGCACGGTACAGACACACAAAACAAAACAAAACAAAATGATAAAGAAAGACAAGAAGGATAACTGTGGGCAGACACATATTTCTAACTACATGCATATGCTTGCAGACGTCATATATATATATATATATATATCATCTCTAACGACGTGTAGATGTATTTGAGGAGATTCACATCACAATAACTCTTACCGTCATTCACCTCTCCCAGTGTCTGTATCTTTGCGACTTCTCACACATTCATCGAACAATAATAATAATAATAATAATAATGATAATAAAAATGGTAGCAACGCAAAGAGAAGAAAGCAAACTGTGGGGAAAACGTTCTTATTTTAGTTGGCCCGTTACATATATATATATATATATATATATAAAGTTATTTTCGCTTCTTAACTCATTCCCTTTCAATTCCCCTCCCCTCCCGTTGTGTTCAATGGGCTTTCCTTTGCCTCCACTTCGTGTATGTGGTCACTGCTAACAAGATGTCCATATGTATATGTATGTATGTATATCTATGCATCTCACCCTCCTTTTCTTCCTTCTCTCTTCTTATTCCTCTCTCCCTGAACCCTACTGTGTATCTTTACTTCCATGTGATGGAAATAAAGACACGCTTCGTTCGGTTTTTTATTTTATCTTTTATTTTCATTTTTTTCCCCTTTTCTTCGTTCTTTTTCCCACCATCCCCTCAAAAAAATAGTAATGAACAAAAATATATATTTATCCCATGCGTAGTTACGCCTGTGCCGTTGCCTATTTGTCACTGCCCTGTTTTCACCACAATATACATCGTGCCAATGCATATCGGACCCTTTCCCTCTCTCCATAGACTTTGCTCAATACACCACACACTTTCTCACCCTCATTCCCCCCAAACACACACACACACCGAAGGGCAGGCACGTGTATAAAATTACAAATATGGTTGGTGTAGGAATCTCCGTTGATTATCCCCTCTCCTCCTTTCACTCCACGGCCACTGGGGGCCGGTAGACAGTTGCAATAAAAGAGACTAAATTTATAAGAGCAAACAACAAATGCCAAAATGCAACAACAGACAAATCAACGGAGAAAACAAAACAAAACAAAACAAACAAAAACAACAAAACAACAAAACAAAAAACAGGATATCTTCCCACAAACCCGCAAAAAAAAAAAGGGAAAAATGAATCAGTCCTTCATAAAAATTTTTTTTTTTTTTCCTCGCTACTTCTCAAAAAGCGTGGCAAGCGTATTTTCCGTGTGCATTTTCTCAATGGCGCGGGCAAGAAGCGGAGCAATAGGCAGCAGCCGTAGTTTTTGTGCAAAGAGTGGTTTTTTAAAGACCACATCTTGGTTGACGCTATCGGTGACAACAATGAGGTCAATCGGACTTTTAACCAGCCGCTCCTCCGCCCCTGCGGAGAGAATGAGGTGCGTCGCTATGAGGATGATGCGACTCGCACCTGCCTCATGCAATTTCCACGCGGTACGGCAAATTTTAATCGCCTCGTCAATGGTGGTGTCAACAATAATACAAAGTCGGCCCTTGACGTCACCAACGAGTGCCACGCCGTCGGTTTGGGCGGGGTTATCTGCCCGATCTTCGCAAATGGCACTAACGCCCTCCTCTTGTTGCCGCAACGCCTTCACAAAGGCAACCGTGTTGCTCGCATTCTCTTGCGTTGGACTTACTCTACGCGGTGGGGGCGAAAACAAATCGAGAACAGTCCCTGCTCGTGAATGCGAATAACTTTTTTGCGCCTCCTGTTGTTTGCTGGAATTTTCTTCTGGAACAGACGTCTGACACGTGGCACTGGAGGCCGCGGTGGTGGTCACGGTTGCTGTCGGTTTATCGGTGGCACAGGGTCTGTGTGACACACTCTTCACTGGGGGCGGCGGCGGCAGGTTCGGGTGACGATGGACCGCCGTGCACACAGAGACAAACTGCTCCGCGCTCGACAACTTCATGTAGTTCATCAAAGCATCCGCAAAATACTTTGCACGGCTCACAGAGGTGCCGGAAGGTGACACGACGGTGATGTTGCGGAAGTCATGACCCTCATTTGTCAGGTGTTTAGCGATGAATCGAACAAACTCATATCTGGCGGATATATTTTCAAGTGGCACAGAGAACATACCTTCCACCTGCTCACTAGACATGTCTACTGTGATGACATGTTGACAGCCCATCTTTTCAAGTAACTCTGCCACAACAGCCACTGAGGAAACACTATCAGCGTATGCAAGGTAAGGAATAACGGCTGTAATACGAGCGGCGGAACTTAACCGGGCTGTATGTAACATCAACGCCAGCTCCATGAACGTCCCTGAATGCGACAGTCCAAGATGATCGCACCGCACAAGGGACTGAAGCACAAACACATCATCACCACGCAGTGTTCGAGAGAGACTGACATTGATCTCTCCATTCGGAAACTGATTGCAACACGGCGGGTACCGCGGGCACTGCAACACCTCACATATCATCTTTTCACAAAAAAGGCTCGTACTGCCGGAAAGAATACGCGCCGCAAAGTTCCCTTGCCTCTCCTGGTGGGGAAAGTTAAGGGTAAAGAAAAACGTGTCACTGTGAGGCAAGATACGGCGAATATTGACCCCAGCGCGGTATTCATAGTGGCTTAAATGTGCCACGGTCTCCTCATAGGTGAGACGATACACCGTGCCATAGAGTGCGATCAAATCCAATGCAATGCGACGAAGATCAAGGCGTGGCTGTGCAATGGCGCTGTTGAAAATAGTTTCATCTATAGACATCAGGCGTTGCTGAAGTTCCAAACTGTCGCATGCGCAGCGTTCCATAAATTTCTTCATAATTTTGCGAAATGCCGCAAGATTAAGTGACCGGTAACGCAGGATAGTCTGAACCTTCACATATAATTTGGCAATACATTCATCTGGCATTGCGCGGATCTCCTCCTCCGTCAGTTGCTCCAATTCATGTACACGCGTCAGGAGATCATCCTCCAGTTGCCACAGATACTTCTTCACCTTCACAAAGGATGCTCGCAGCTCCACAAAAAATTTTTCTTCCAGTTCATGCCGTTTCTTCATCATCTCCTCTAGAGCCGGATCGCTCTCCGTTGTTGCCATTGGGCCAAACGTCCCTTCATGTGAGGTGGATGAAAGCATGGCTGCAGCTGCCACGGCCGCCGCCAGAGACGTGTGCTCATCAATCTCCTTCCGCAGTTGCTCCACCGATTTTGCAATCGGCTTCAGCTCAAAGTATGCCACATAATTCTCCAGAGTAATCTCCGTGTTGTACTCGGACAAGAGACGCCGGTGAAATGCCTGCCCCTCGGAACGTCCTTTGCCCGTCCGCATGCTTCAACCTACTATTTCCTCCCCTCCCCTCCCCTCCTTCTTCTCTTTTTGGTTTTGGTTTTATTTTGTTTTTAAATTATTTTCTCTGGTAGCGTTTATTGCCTGCTGCAGAGAGAGACTACCACCGCTTCCGTTTGCCATGTGTTTATGCGTGTAATGTGGGATGCATTCGCAAGTAAAGGAAGAGAAAATTCCTGACACGTGTCACCACACACACACACACACACACACACACACACACACGAAGAAGGGACGTCGTAATCTGCAGGGACGGTTGTCGTAAAGCGCACATCTGAAAAGACAAGAGATATTCATTTGAAGCGGTCCGTGCGCACGCATGGAGAAAGAAATAATAATAATAATAATAATAATACAAATAACCCTCCCAGAAAAGAAAAGTCCCCAAAAGAAACACACATAAAAAAAAGAAAGATGAATCTAATAAAGCCCTCCTACGGCATTATTGGTGATGATCGACCAAAAGTCGGGCATACGCTGCAAGATGAACTCCACGCGTCGATTTCTTCGACGCCTTTCATGGTCCATGGAATGAATGTCCTCCTCTGGTTGCCCTTGCCTGTGATACCTGGCGTGATGACGCAGCGGGATTGCGGAATACCGTTGCAACAGTGCGCTCCGCACGGCCTCCCCCCGGCGGTCCATCATTTGTCTGCCTGCTTCCCCGGATGCGTCCGTGACTGCGGTGCGGTTGACGATGACCCGTCGGCCGAGTGCCGCCATCATTTCATCCCCCACCACCTGGAAAACGTCGCCATTACTGTCATTATCATCGTTGGGAACATCGCTAGCAGAAGGCGTGTTTTGATAGAGCCGATGCATCAAAGCCTGCTGCTGCTGCTGGATCAACTGGTGATACGCCATCGCAGCGTCCCTCTGCGTCGCTGTTGCTCCTCCGCATGGAAGCATGTTTTTACCTTCCCTTCGCTCCACCCGTCTTCTTTTTTTTTTTCCCTTCGATTGCCCGTTTGTGCCCAACCCGCGTTTCCAGCCACTTTCTGTTCCTCCGCAGCACGCCGTGAAGTGCCAAATAAGAAGATTTGTCTACACGTTTGCATCAACAATAAAGCGGGCATAAAAAAAAAGAAAAAAAAAAGAAGAAGAGGCAAAAGATGCATAAAAGGAATTCGGTCACCTTCCATCATCCTCCCCGCTCGTCCTCCCTCTCCTTCGCCATGGCTGTGTTTGTGTGGGTGTGTGTGTGTGTGTGTGTTCATGCGTGTTTATGGAGGCACATCTAAAATCTTTCTTCTTTTTACTTACAAACAAACAAAAAACTACGGTGCCAACATGACAGTTACAGAAACAGAGGCATTGTTGTACACGCCTTCTCCCGGCAACTCTACCGCAACAGAAGGAAAAGCGGCGGCCCAGCCAACTATATCTTTCCCTCCTTTTTCTTCAGGCAACGTGAAAAACTTCCGGGGTTCCAGCAGCAGCGCCGTGGTGGAGGTTTCCCCCTCCGTGAGCAGTGACGATGAAAT